GTGCAGCAATGCCGGGCAAGGGCTATTTTCACTTGGAAACATATTGCTATCTATATTTCCAAGTGAAAATCGTTGTCACTGCTGCCTGACAACAGGCTGCTCGAAATGGGTATCGAACCCAGGACCTCTGAATCAGGTAGTAGAGGTATTTGACACGGTTCTCCATAGATTTTCATCTTCCTCGATCCATCATCTTAGCTCAATTACATATTGCATATTAACTTGCTTATTACCTATTTCACATTTGCAAAAATCCTCGTTTGCATGATGCTGTCCTTAATTGATTTCTTAATCGCAATAGTCAATGTCAGTCCAGTGACACGAATCAAAACATCGTTCCAGTGTCCCAGTACAGTAGGACGGGTAGCCTTAATAGAATCGCTTATCGCGTTATTGCGGCGCGGTTTTGGCACGCATGCACCTGTTGTTCTGTTGCGTGCGATCATTGTTCTACGATCGGCGACCACGCCTCGCGGTTCCCAAGCGGTGCACTCCATTTTTCTAACGCGCTCTTGTGTAACTGAAATCAGGCTGGGGGCAGATGGACAGAGACCAGTGGCCTCGCGGGAAATAAGAAAAAATAGTCAAATATGATATAATCTATAGTATTCTAGTGTATAAATTCCAAAAATTTGTTTTTTATTTTTTAACTTTCCGTAGGGTAGTTATAGTAATGGGCCATAAATCGAAAATAAAATTTTTTGCATTTTTCCACGTTCTGAAGGTTTCTGAACATTTTGGCATACCTCAGAAAAAATGGATGTGTGTGTGTTTGTGTGTCCGCATTTTTCGTTCACGTTTCGAGCGCACGGATCAACCGATTGAATGGTTAAAAAAAACATTCGATTCCTATTGTTAGAGAGATGTGCCGATTAGTTTTCAGCAATGACAGGTCCAGCCGTTACAGAGATAAAGAGCAAAGAGTGCAGAAAATAGCAATAGTTTTTGAGAGAATAGAGCATCCGATTTCAATGCTCTGCAAAATATGCAGTTTGTAACGATTGGAGAAGTGGTTATTAGTTTTTGGCAAAGGCAGATCCAGCCATTTCGATGATACAGGGCTAAATGTACAAAAGATGGCGGTTTTTGAGACAAATAAGCTTCCGATTTCAATGATTTATAAAACGTTCTGCATGTATTGAAACAATTGCTTCTGGAGAAAAAAAAATTATTTTTTTTTATTTTTTTTATCAAAAATAATTCAGATTTCAATTTTAATTGTGACTAAAGATTTAAAACTTATTTATATACTTTAAATAAATAATTTTCACTATGTGATTCATTTTATACAAATCTTGGAAATATTAGCCAATGTTACAGTATTTATAATAATCTATTTGAAAACATTTAATATTCCTCAAATATTTCGTTACGGTATAGGAAGTTCTAGTAATTTGCATTAAGGCACGATGCCATACACCATTAGTTTTATATATTTTCAAAGCTTATCTGTTCAGAAAAATGTGTATGAGAGGATTTTTTAAAATTTGAATTATTTTTGTAGATACAGATGTTCGATAATAATAATCGCTGCCACCCCTACCCCCCCGCACTAATAAAAAAATGTTGGGTTTCCCTTAATTTTATTTTCAGTTTCAACAATTTTATTTTATGAATACTCAATTGATATTATCAGACTACACATTAAGATGCAATATTATGTAAAAATAAGCATAAAGTATAATTATTTATTCGATTATTTTTTTATATTAATTCAAAATTTAATTTATTTTCGAGAATAGTATTTTGGAAATTGTCGTACACGCTTCTCCCACAGGTTGGAAACCGCTGGCTTAACTAAATATGATAATTTCAATAAATAATAATTGAAAAAACAGCAAATGAATGTACTGAAAACTCATGTTTCAAAAAAAACATGCCAGACAAACTAAATCTAGTCAATTGTTAATTAAAAAAATTATGGTATGGTTTTCATATTTACAAGAAATAATTTTGTCAATCATATTATTTATCATATTTTATTAGGTACCTCACAAAGAGTTACTTCCATCAAAAAATCTTTAAAATCTATCTCTTTAAATGCTAAATTCAAATAAACTGGCTAAATTTTCTGTTCTTCACCTTCATCAATGTTTTTAAAATGTTCCATTTACAGATTTTTATAAGTTTATGAATATACTATATTTGTAAACTAGCTAAACTTAATTCCAAGCTCAACCGCACAATAGTATCATTGACTACTGATATTAACCACAAATAATATAGATTATTACATGATAAATAGGAAGTGTACTCATTCACTATTTATAATGAATAATTTAATTTGAATATAAAATTATTTAAAATAGTTCCGATTTTTTTTCTAAATCATAATATATTAATTCTTCAAATTTCAAATAATTTGAATGTGACATTTATATTTTATTTACATCTAAAATGCATCTGCTGACCATATGTACGATATCTATATCCATAAATAATTGATAATAATTTACGATCTTAAATTACTTGTTATATACATAAAACTTGATCATTGCACAATAAATATTTTGTAGTTTCTAATTTAAAAGTAATAAAAATACTTGAATTACAAATAAAAAATCATTCGTGTTATTTGTCTCATATAATTTGTTTATATAAATACATGTAAAATTATTAATCATAATAATACTCATTATAATTAATCGCACTCCTGGTGCTGATTGATAAATTAATGGCAAATTAATTTATCTTTCACTACATGAAAATAATAAATCAAGTTGTAATGCAAAATATTATTATAGCAATTGAGAGAGACATTGATTAAATCAGTATATTAATAATACTAATGATTTCACACTATGCTGTTATGAAGATTATTTAGCTACTGGTCTTAAATTGCATTCTATTAATCCATATTTATAAGTATGCGAATATATCTGCTGGAGAAGGTATTAATTTAGATCTGATTATATGTCGCTATTTCAGATTATATATAATCTGAGTAATGATTAATTGATTGATGAAACTATCTAGCAATTTACATGATGATCATCACTATCTTTAATCAAGCACAAAATATTATTGAAGACCAAATGCACTTCTTCATATTTTATAAATGGTTTACCTCAAGGCATATTTGAAATATTACGGGTTCAACGACAAATTTTTACTGCTAATTTTTATTTTATATAAGCTGTCGAATAATTTTATTGTTCAATATGGTAATTCTAGAAACAAATATACAGCATAATTATTGATTATACGGTTTCTAAGAAATTTCTGGTTTTGTCATTTATTGTGATTACATGCCAATAAAGGTCGTGTCAGTAATTCATGCTATTATTTTTACAATTTAGCAAAAAAAAAATGGTCGCGGTTGACTCGGCACTATTAATATCATTGATTCTTTTAGTATCCATGTATTTTTTCAAAACTACTGAAATTGAATTTGTATTTATATTTCACAAGTTGTTGAAATAGATATCAATAAGTAGATTAAAATTTGTAATATTTTAATCCTTAAATCTCACAAGCTCAGACTACATTTTAATTTATTTCCAAAAATATCTCTGCATAATTAAAAATAAAACTACTCATTTTCGAGAAAAAAAATTGCTTGTGGTTACATCCTATTTTCAAAAAAATGTTATAGTAAAGTAGTCTATTTTGCTTAATATTTGGTCCTTATATTTCGATCATTAATAAGAAGAATGTTTGAACTAAATATATGATAATAAACTTAGCTTCTCTTCATAGATGATAGAAACCTCAAATTATTTAATCAATGATTTATTTCTTTACTGGACCGTTTTTTTTCTGTTCTGGAATTTAGGAAAAATTTTATATAAAGATAAATATTGTCGTCATTAAATATGAATTCATAGATTAGCTGTAAATATTTTCTTTTGTAAAATCTTTGAATTATGTATTGGTTAAATTTTAATATCATATAGGAGCTTATTGTAACAGATATAAGAAATAAACTTTCCAATTTAGTTTATATAATTGTTATAAATATAAATAATCAATGTTACAATATTTATAATAATCTATTATAAAACATTTAATATTCCTCGATCATTTCGTTACGGTACGAGAAGTTCCAGCAATTTGCCTTAAGGCACGATGCCATACACCCCACTAGTCAATTTTTTAATTAAAAAAATGCAAGTACAAAAAAATTGACTATATTGTTAATATAAAAACTAACTGATTGTGAAAATATGTGGTATATAAATTAAAAGGGCAGATAAAACAAATTTTATGGATGGTTTACCCACTGCAATGCATGATACATCTTTTTTGTATTCTTGAACAGCAATGAGAACATAATAATCCTATAAGATATTGTGCTGATTTGATTTAATACTAGTCTGTTCGAAAGATGGCAACCCAAACGGTTGTCACATCTCTGTCTGATATATTATTAATAGGGCAAATATTTTATTTGTGCAGAAATGTCGGGTGAAAGCCATTTTCACTTGGAAATATATTACTATCTATGTTTCCAAGTGAAAACCGTTGTTACTACTGCTTGATTACAGGCTGCTCAAAGTGCGAATCAAACACGGAACATCTGATTTAAGTCCAACCCATTTACATGTAATGAAAATTTTGTGTTCTTATTAATGTCTTTCAAATACAAAACTATATCTATAATATAATTTACTATATTTTGTAAAAATATAGCACTATAATTTTTTGTCATTTCCAAACAAATTTAAATTTGTTTGTGATTTTTTTTTCAACCAAATACGGAAACAGTCTCATTAATTTAACGCCTAATCGATTAAATCACTTTTTATCCAAAAAAAACTCACAATCAGGCCAGGAACTCTGAATTTGGTGTCCTCTGATCGCGCAACCTTCGCGGCTACCATTATCCATTATCATAGTAATTACGATAGTCTTTGTGCAATTGGCAATATACGGTTGCGAATGCGACACTGTACCAGCCCTATATGTGTACAGTGTACAGGGTCGTTGCGCATTTGTCCGATATGTTTCTGCTTATATAAGGCGGTTGACGTAAGACGACAAGACATAAACACACCGGAGACGTCAGTCATACAACAAGTACCTCTGGACAGTAATAGATAGAAGTCAGAAGTTACCAGTTTTCAAGACATCAAAGAAGTCAGCGATATGTCAGCTCTAAGAACTGTGAGTTGGAAATTTAATACTTTTGTTTTTCTCGAAAATTGTTTGTGTGGATTGTGAGAAATTGAAGTGAAACTTTGTATGTTTTGATGATGTTGCATTGTAACTTCAACATTTTTTATATTGGTGATTTATGCCTTTGTTTTCTTTGCGGTCAATTTGAATTTTTTGTCGGTTATTATTAATTTCACAATATTATGCAAAAATGATTTTCATTTTACACGTAAACACTAAACATCTCTCAATAAAGTAAACTCTAATTTTTTTTTTTTGTCTATTCTAACTTTTTTTCGGTTTGCTCATAAGATTTCATTATATCTTGATTGCTATTTTATTAACTTCCCGAATTCATCAAAAAATCCGATTCGTTAATTTTATGTTTTCTCGACGTTTCAAGCCATTCTGAATCGAATGAGACCATATTTGAAAAAAGTGTGTGTGTGTGTATATGTGTGTGTGCGTGTGTGTGAACAGATTTTTTGCCGTAAATCGACGTTTGCTCAAAAACGGCTGGACCGATTTCAAAAATTTAAAAATCATTCGATGTATCGCGATGAGGACTAGCGTTTATTACTTTTTTTTAAATCTACACGTATTTATCACAAATCCAGCCAGTTTGTAAATCACCTACCAGTTTAAAAATTTCCTATAGAGCTACCCTTTAGTTTACTAAAAACTTTATAATAAATGTAATTTTCTAAATGCTCTTTTTCGTCGTTGTATTCGCGGAAAATTTGATTTTTCTATTACTTATAGTTAGTTTTATTTCTAATAATTTTGCATAAAATTTAATAAAAGAAATACCTTAGATTATACTTGTCACAATATCTAAGCGAGAATAATTTTGACTTCTATACGAATTTTTCACAAATTTTGCCAGTTTAAAAAATTATATACCACTTTAAAAATCTCCTATAAAATCTCAACTCCCAAAATCTAAATATACTGTATATTTTATAAATATATGTTGCAATGCATTCGGTATACAAAAAACATTCTAATACATTTTTCGTCTTTAAATTCTTAACGGATTTTATATTTTGCTTATATCTGTTAAATTAAAAACTTGTATTATTGATTTAATTAAAAGAGTATCAGTATATAAATGAAGTGCAAGATATTTTTAATCTATTTTTTGACTAGAAATGTTTAAGATGCTTTTTTATGATGTAGACATTTTATTGCTATTTGGTAATTGGCAAATTTAATTTCTAGCTTCTTTCATGTTCATGCTAGTAAATACTTTAAAAAAATGGCGAAACTACAACTTTTTCCCCATTATATATTTTAGTGATTATCCATATTAATTTCAATTACTATGTGTTTGAAAAAAGACGGTTTCAAGTTTTTATAAAAAAGAACTAATCGCGCGAGTTTTGACAGAAATTTCAAGTGATTGAAAACAGTTTTTGATTGAGATTAATTGCTGTACAATTTTATTGGTAATAAATATTTTTATGCAATTAAGCAAACCAAAAAAAAAATGACAAAGATTATATAATTTCTTTTCTTTTTTTAATTATTGTACAACAGCAATCAGAACTCTTACTATTTATATGTTTTATAAGCTGTTTGGTTCAACGCTTACGATCTAAGGTATTATTATGAGAGGCAACCCATCGGTTCACCATTCTCCTATGTGTGGATTTATTATATATTAGCTTTTACGTCTAATAGTGATTATGATTGATAATAATGATATGATTGAGTGCTGCAACTATGTCCACGAAGGACGATTTCCACTTGTAGTTCTATTGTGATCTATAACCACAAGCGGAAATTTGACATCAAAGTTGCCTGATGTCGGGATATATTTTCTAAATCAATTCTTGTTGGGGATCAATTATTCATTGTTTATTCACAACTTTAACATTTAAGGATGTAAATATTTTTATGATAGTGAAACAAAGCACTTCTATCGATTTGCAACACTATACTCATCAATCCGGTATAATGTTATTTTCAATTTTTTAGTGTTATTGTAATTGAAAACCGGTATTTCTCTAAAAAAACGGTTTACAAGTTCCGTAATTTTTTTTAAATCCGGTTTTTAAAAACCAACAAACCCTACTCGGTATGTATGACATTATACATTAACAACAATTTTACACTCTCTAAATCAATATATCTATTACCCTTCTAACTTATCATTTACCTCAGTGTGTCATCCTCTTCGCTCTGGTCCTTTTGGGTGTGGCCGCCCTGCCGAGACCAGCTCCAGTTCCTGCTGGCCCAAGGGGCGGTCCGAGACCAGCGCCCGCTAAAGACCTCGAGGCGTCTGCCGACGATGCCGAAGATCTGAAAGGCGAAAACTCGTACGGCTACGGGTACTACGGCGGGTATCCTGGCCTCCATTACGGATACTACCCTTATAGCTACGGCTTCTACGGACACGGTAAGAAAAATTCCTTTTTTTTTATTCCATTTTGACGGTTTAATGAATTATAAATATTTGATTAGTGTATGAACTTTGGAAACGAACTTGTAACAATAGGATCTAATAACATTCACGCGGTAAATATACATAATCTTTCACTCTACATATAAATTTAGAATGAGAATCGCCTTGCTTCTAGTGATAAGCAATTAATCATAAAGTTAATATATTTGTGAGTTACTAATTAATAATTAGCAGAAATACATTCATATGTGAAGCAAAGTCGTAATATTTAATTCCAACGTTATTTAAACAGATATTATACTAAATATCTAGAATCTACTTACTCGTATATAACCCTGGTTTGGTTATTTTTTAATAAAGTGCAATATATTATGTATTGCATATTTCAACTTTTGAAATGGATAATTTATCTTGATTAGGTTAAATTTTGTAAATAACTTTTCATCATCATTTTTTCCAAATGATATCTTAATATAGACTAGAGCGGATTTTATTAATGGATGTTCAAATTAGAAATTTATCAAAATTGATTTCAATGTATTTAGTCGAGTAATAACTGCTCTAAAGCATTGACAGTAAATATTTCTAAATTGAACAGTGTTTTTAAAGTAAACTTGCTCTACTTTACCTTACAAATTAATTCATACTTATGATTTTATATTCATGTACTAATTTAAATTGATCAGAATAGCACGATAGATATTTTATTTTAATTTTAATAACGCAGTCGTTGTAAACAAATACAAAAGTAGATGCGTGCATTTTTCCATTATCTGATAAAAAAAATACTATTAACTCATCTACGTTGTTGTGAAGATATTAATGAGGTGACTCTTTCAAAATTAGTATTTTAATTAACATTGTCGTCATTAATATGCGTGCATTTCTAATCAAATCAGTAACATCTAATAACGCTGTAAATTTTTTGTTCGCATTTTTTGCATTAGTTCATTATTAAATTTACTTCTAAAATAAAACATTTTTATGACTAGTAGTTTTTTTACATTAGCAATAAAATAACTAGGCTTTTGCTCCGAGTGTGTGTATATCGCCACTAATTTTATAATTACTTAACATATCTATTATTCTTAACATATTATTATATTAAAAAATTACTTGACTTTACATATTTTTATCTCTTATTTAAATATTGCAAAATAATCAGTCTTTAAAAAATGTTCTAAGCGCGTAAATATAAGTATCTGAAATCAACGTCAGGAATATTCTTAGTAGTAACCTTCAAGTTAGAAACATGATAATTCTATTTTCTTGTCTCATTATTATTAGTATATTATCATGTCACTAAACTGTATAATCTTGTTAGACTCTTGTTGCTAATAGGCGTATTTTTACATTTATATTGATTAACTTGTCTCGTTCGTTACTCATTAAACCGTCTTGGAAATAAATGAATATTGAGAAATAAATAGTATCTACTTATAAATAATCAGAGCTGGAGTAAATAAAACAGACTAACTAATGTAACTCAATTTATAAAAGAATCCTATGTGCAAATTGTAATTGATTAGAAAATTTCAATCTAATCTCCTATAGTTAGAATTTTGACAAAATTACTGGTGAAAGATGTTATATATTCAGAAAATTCATAATGACGTAAATCGGAGAAAATACGTACAAATTATTAAACTATAAAGTAGTTAATACTATAACTATGTCAGATAATTATAGATAAATTCGTTTAAAAAAATCTTTGACCAAATATTATGGACTAACACTTCTCTAATGCTCCTAATTATGATCTAACATTATTATAGCGTATTATAATTTTTATAATGGATTTCAAACATTCTCTATAAAATTCGGAGAAATCAATATATAAAAAAACAAATTCATTATATATAAGAATTATATTTTATCGATTCATTGATTAAAGTTGTTCCTTAGCAAGTTATATTGTGAGCCAATGTCAATAAACGCTGGAGAGAGTGTCACCTCACGGCAAGAAAGTTTTATTCCATCACCGATAACAAAAACTTGTTAATCCTGGAAAACAGTTTCTCGATTGATAAATTACGATCGAACAGGCTTTTTCAATATATGCATATATCTTTTCAATATACACGCCATCGCGAGTTTTTTTGTTTAACTCAGTTGTTTTTACTAGAAGCCGCATAGTCTTTCTCGGTTTGAAGTTCTTTATTAATGTTATCTTTGTTTGATGTATAAAATTCTTGTTTTTACTTGGTATGAGGAATGAAAGAAGTTTTTTTTAAAAAAAATCATATAACGGTTAGTGAAAATATAAATAAAAATTTGTTGGACGTGTTGCACGCTGCCTAGGCATTCATATGTAGAAAAAAATTCTTATATACTGGACAAATTGAGTAAAATGAGTCAAATAATTTTATAATAAATTACATACAAATATTAGTATAAATTTAACTTTTAGAATGGAATGTAATTATTTTTTCATTTTTTATATTTTCCAATTACTAATAATTCCTGCAATTAATTCTAATTTAATTAGCACGTTTGCAAAATTTTAACATAATTCTTTATATAACTAATTGTAAATTGAAATATTCTAAACGTGAGAAATATTTTAACAAATTTCATTTCGAATAACAAATGATACATAAATGTGATCTTGGTTGCTGATGACTCAGGAAATGATAAAAGTTGTTCTGCATATTTTTTAAGTATACATTCTCTAAATTAATTATGTTTGATTGAAAATGTATTTGTTTTCAAGCATTATAAAAGAACAATTAAAAATCCTATTCGGTATATAATATTTTTAGCATTAATTTCATTCAGTTTTTAAATTTTAATATCATATTTAATTTTACTGCATAATTTCATTAATACATTTTTATATACTGATGCAATATCATGGGTAACAAGAATATATTTCCATATTAAATTTTATTTAAGTAATTCTACTTTCACCAGAATAATAGTGCTGGATCAATTAAATTTCACACAACATTGACAAAATCGCTCATTTTTGCAAATTAATTAGTTAACACATAAATTAACAAATATTTTGTTCGTCTTAATGGAGCCTTGTATTAAAATTCACATAATTAATACTAATTTTTGATCTGTCATTCTAGAAAAAAAAATTAAGTTTCGTCATTTGGCAATTAGTATCAGATAACATCTGCTTAAAGAATAATATCAATTCTGAATTAATTTCTTATAACTTATATTTTGTTTGAATAAGTTATTTTGTAACGTATTTTGAAAAGTTCCATTTTCTATATGCATTTATAGAGGTTAAATATGTAAAATTTTACAAAGACAATTTTGTTTCATACATTTTCCCGCTTGATACCTGGCACAGTTCCTTGCACTTTGAAGAATATTCTGTCTATCATACCATTTCCAGGATAAGAAGCGATTTTGAACTGGTTTTTAGAAAATTGTTTTAACGGGGTTTATATATATATATATGAGAAACATCCCAACAATTTGTATGGTTGTAAAAATTTTTTTTATTTATTCCAGCTTATTGGCTTAGAAATACAACACATACTCAATCCTACCTTAACTTAAAACCATCGTACGAATTCAAAAATCTTTTATATTATATAATTAACTCTTTTAAAAGTATGACAGGTGCCTCGTACAAGCCAATGGATGAATATCCCATGAGCCGCGTTCAAATTAATTACTCTTAATTATCAATCACAGTACTTCTACTAATGAATAGATCCAATGCAAAGCAATTTGACTAATATTACATTTTATTAAAATGATTAATAATCTTTCATTGTTTGCTCGTCCGTGTCACTACATCGCCTCGAGGGAAATAACTTAACTGAAAATAAAAATCTATTCGACAAGGACGATGAGGCGCGTAAGAATTTTAGACTGCGATCCGCCTTTGCGTTATCGATGATCTCATATGAGAGTTTCGTGATTTAAATTTATACGATTTACATTCTATGCCAAATTCCAAAATTGTTATAGATCACTACTTAATGCAATAGCTTGACATTTTGTCTCGGCAATATAATAAATAATTTTTATTGTTACGAAAATGTTGAATTTTAACATATTGTGATAAGGAGTTGATCGATTTTGCTCCAAACGGTCTCTCATCGTTCATAATGCCATATTTTGTTCTAAGCATGTTCATAATCTTATACAAAATATTCACTATTTAAATTTAACATCTACTATACAAATTAAAAATCATTTGCTAACTAGACGTGAGTGTCTTAAAATATTGCCAATGTAAATAATTAACTTAATTAATCAGATATGAGATTTTGCTATTTATTTAAAACTTACAATTCTTTATTTTCAAATTAAAGGTTTTGCTTAAACTAAAACATAATCAACACGCACTTGTTTGTCCTAAAAGCGCATCACATTATTGCAACGTTTCCGTAGGCCTCTAATATTTTAGGATGGTCGTTTATATTCAGATCATATACTTCATCGCCAAGTCAAATTTCATCAAAAACACCAGAAATTTCACTTTTAATTCCTAAAAAAAACGGTCTAACTAGTACAGCCATTATAGTAAGTTCACCTCAGAACTCGAGATAACCAGCTGTAAGTCTATAAATACTTGTATATTGACACCATAAAGTTGTCTCAAAACCTACATATGGTAGGATATCAATACTATATGTAGGTTTTCAGACAACTTTGGGTATCTCGAATTCCGAAATTCTTATCCAATTTAAGCTTAAATGACTGGACTATACCTATCTTTGCCAAAAGCTAATTGAAATGATTCCGAACAGTTTTTGAACTTTTAAAGTCATTTTAGTAAGTTCATCTCATAATTTGAGATACCCAGCTGTAAACTTTAAATACTTGTATATTGACACCTCAAAAGTTGTCTCAAAACCTACATATGGTAGGATATCATACCATATGTAGGTTTTCAGACAACTTTGGGTATCTCAAATTCCGAAATTCGTACCTAATTTAAGCTTAAATGACTGGACTATACCTGTCTTTGCCAAAAACTAATTGAAATGATTCTGAACAGTTTTTGAACTTTTAAAATCGGTTCAGGATTTTTGGCTAAAAGGTAGATGAAATATTTTCTAATTATAAAGAAATGGCAATATGCATTTAATTTATAATAACGGTTTTGCATTTATTTGATTGAATTTGCTATAAAATTGAATATTCAAAGTTAATTGTAAATAACATTAATGTTATAAGCAAAAACAACGTGTATAAAGTTTATATTTAAATTCTATTTGAGCTTATTTTATTCATTTTTTTAATTCAATACAATAAGGACAATATAAACCATTCTTATAAAAATTTAAACCAAAGATCAATATGAAATAATATCTCTTGATCATCTTTTTTGGTTAAATTAAAAATTAAATTGAGAAAATTATATCAGCACCATGTATGTCATGTTGCTCATTTGACGAATTATTCGCTTTTACTAAATGATATCTAAATATATTGGCAAAAATATTTGTTTTAATGGCAACATAAATAATTCCCATTCAATTAAAATATTTCTAACAACTAACTAGCGATAACCATACAAACTAAAAATCCATATATCAACAATTCTGATGTCCAAAACAAGTTTTGTCTCTCATTTTAATATCTCAAAATGATTTAAAATACCACAAACCTTTACTATTCGCGGTTTGAAATTTTATAAGCTCGTCTAATTTATTGCTGATATAAACCCTAATTAAAAATTCAAATCACCCACGTGATTTATAATATTGAGCTTTTTATTCGCAAAAATGTTTTATTCCAGCATTGATATGTTAACCTTGCCTTGAAATTTTTTGATAAAAATGCTTAAACGAATTTGCATCGCTGCAAAATATTATATAGACAGAAAATGATTGATTGATAATATAATCAGAACAAAAAATTATAAATTAGAATTTATATAGCTTATTATTACAAGTACTAATTGTTACAGTTACATGGGGATTAGAATTTTTTTCCTAAATTTTTTAATTTTTTTTTCAGGATATCCTTACTACGGATATGGTGGTTTGTATGGAGGACACTGGTGGTAAACTCCAGAATTTTTCCAGGTTAAATTAACCAAAAATTTTAATTAAGTACACTATATAACCAAAGGAACACACCTCGACTTTACATTCCCATCAGGAGTGCAACAGGTACTTATTTCAACATTTTGTGTTTTAACAGAATTTTATTGATAACATATATTTCATAATATTTTGAAGAATGTATAAAGTAAAAGCTTTGTTTTTTACATATATTTTGTAATATCTAAATAATAAATTCTTCTTATAACCTTCATATTATGTTTTATTGGAAATTTCTCAGTAATATGCTGAATTGGGTTTATGCTAAAGCTCATGGTGGCCTGCGGGTAGATCCAAAATATAGTAATTTCTATTTTACAATTTTCAAAATGTTGATTAATATACTTTGTATTAATGCATTATCATTCATCACAAAGTGAAATTATACATATCATTAAGCTTATGACCTTTTAAAAAGCGTAGTTAAGAAGCGTTCCGATGTTTATAACTGCACGAAGGACAAATTTGTACAGAAACATTTATCATTATCGCGTGAATTATTTAAAATGATATTATATATCAAAGGCGTCATATGCAAAAGCACCGAACAGATTTTTGTGGAAGATTTCTTATAATAGTTTTGAATATTCTCGTTTCATTATATTCGTTAATTAATTATGTAGTTCTTGTGAAATACTTTTTGCGAAATGCCTGTGATAAATATAGCAAATAGTGTGATGATGAACTTCTAGGCCTCTATGGACGTTTAATGCTTAATTGATAAATTAAATAATATTTCATATCAATTTCAAAGTTATTTATCAATTGATTACGGATTTATTGTGTGTTTTGCAAAATCTGTTCTAATGAGATTTAGAATTTTGCTGGTGCATCTAATTAGAAAAACTGATACTCCAGATTGTGAAAGTATTGTAACAATACATAAATCAATTGTATATACGTAATTAACACTAATTATCTCAATTATGAACTGTTTTTATATTTGATCAAGATTCGTCCAGGGATTTTTGTATAAAGTCCTTAATTTTTACAGGTTTCCATTGTAGATTCATACAATTAAAATAATCAGCTTCTTGAATTAATTTTAAAATGTATTTATTTATTTATATAACACCTAAGAAAATGATCAAAACACTAAATGCATTGGCATTTAGTGCAAATAATATGGATCATCTTTTCTACTTCGTATACTATGTCTTAGGATTAGATTTTTGATTAAAATTATTTTATTTTTTTGATTGCTAGTTTATTAAAGAAATTGGCATTGTAGCATATACATTTTTATGTAGTGGTATTTTACAATTATATATGCATTTTCCAAATACATCAGCGTCAAACTTATTTCATATTTTGTTTAATAAAAACTTGATCAGAGCAATAATTTAAGTTTGTTTATATGTATAATGTTATTTTATATAAAAGGCATTTATTTACAAGTGTACTACAAAGTATCGTTCTGCTAATACTTGTGGGAAAATTAGTACCATTTGCACGTACTATTTTATAATTCTTGTTTTGCTAAATCTAACCGGACAAGATCAGTAGAGCAGAACATTCACTAGAAACACTTGATCAAAATAATAAAAATATATATAAAATATAATTTAGGATAAAAAATATTATAATATTATAGTTTAAACCTTAATATAAAATACGTATTTCAAACAGATCAGATCAAAATTATACTACACCGAAATACGTGTCAAACATACACTATACCTGCAATATAGCTGGTGCAATATAAATCAACCTCATTTTTTATTTAAAAAATGCTACCTAATGATTAAAAAAAATATTTCATGATTTATAAATACCTAATGAATTAAGAAAATTTATATCATCAATTTGGTTTGACTGGAGATAATTTTTGAAATCGTGAATTTAAACATTAAATTACTTCGACTGTTCTAGGATTTCTGAAAAAATTCTACACGTCGTCACTTCTTTCGCGCTATTTTTTTTTCAAACTGAACCAGGTCCTTTACTTTTACCTTTACCTGGTTTTTCACCTTCACCTCTCCCTCTACTTCTACCTTCATCTGGTCCTTTACCGTTACCACTACCCTCAATTTCTACCTTTACCTGGTACTTTATTTTTATCTTTACCTGGTTCTTTATTTTTACCTTTTACTTCACCTCTACCTTTATTTTTACTATTTTCTTTTACCATTACCTTTACATGGTCCTTCACCTTTACCTTTACCTGGCTTTTCACCTTTACCTTTACCTATACCTCTACCTCTATCTCTACCCCTACTTCTTTACCTGAACAGGGGTCATTTATAACAACAAAGAAACATTTTACTCATATGAAATGCATTAAATTATGTAAAAGTGTAAACATAAATTTTGTGTAAAACAACAATTCACAGTTTAGAAATAAAAAAAATTATACTCGTTATCTTTTATATAAAATAGTTTACAAAAATATGTCGTTAAGAGATGTGCTCTGTTGATCTATAAAATGTTTCCCACCAATGTATTTTATTACTCACTATTTTTTCTATCGTAGGTGTGAGAAAGTGTTCTATTAAACCTATAATAAATAATAATTACGTTTCGCATTTATTTGCGTAAATTAAATCTCTAAACATATTATTACTTTGACCAGACCGGCATGATTGATAAAGGCCATCTTGCCATTTGACGGATTCAAGATTATTTTAATATACCTTGTAGTATTTTTTTCTGGCAATATGAAGAAATAAAACTTGATTTCAATTAACTAGCATACTTATTACGATTGCGATGGCCCTCATATTATAGAAGATGGACGTTTTGATAAAGTTTCTCTTTATCAAAGGTTCGAGTGTGCCATTAACTAATATGGATATTGTTGCTCAGTGACACTATTTGTTAAGTAAACTTTGGATAAGTTCACACTATGCGTGTGTTAAACATTTTTTTGTTTCCAATTCTTGCACAATGGTAAAAGAGTAAGATTTACTTTTAATTTGCATTTTGCAGTTTTGTCAATCACAAAGAATATCTTATGTAGTAAATGCCTTTTATTCATATTCCATCAAAAATATAGACTCTTTTTTGTATTGTAGGCCGCTCTCCATAATTTTTTCTTGGATGGCGTCCATTAATCACGTGAAAGCTTTTTAAGGATTTTTGAACCCATCCCTCCGCATTGGTGATACTTGCTGATATTTAAAATTACACCCCCTTCCCTCTCTAAACATCACGTGTATTTTTAGTACCAATAAAAAATCCTATTTTTTTAATATTTTGGGTTTTTTAAAATTCAGGTAAAAAATAAATACACGTGATGTCTTACTAGACCACCTCCCTCTGCGGGTTTATTTGTGATTTTTGTCTAAAGATTTACTGTCAGGTCGCTATTTTTTTTTTTTTTTTTTTGAAGTTGATTATGAGACGAATGCTCGTTAAAATGTCATTTGCAATACATGACAGTATTGTCTTCGATGACGTACTCTTTTAATAATAAATATTTATATAGTATCAAATAAAAAATTTAATACTTTATTCAACGACAATGCATATATGCAAAAGAGACACAATATGACCAGTTTTCATATAAAAATCAACTGTTTCTTTATATAATGGTTTCTCTAATTTCTAGAAAACCTTATGAACGTAATACATATAAATGAAAAATTCACTTTAATTTTAACTATGAACTTTTTTAACGTTTTTTCAATGCTTTTAATTTATATATTCGTATCATTAAATAATGTCATGTACAACTATCATTCCGTTACATAAATATTAATATATAGTCTATTAACATCTTTATTAATAATTTTTCTCGGTTGGAAACAAACAATGACCTGATTCATAGTGCATTGATCATTAACTTTGCAATAGTAATGTGTGAATTACTGTTAATCTAATTTATAGTCGTCCTTCACATTACTGACTACATCTTCATCGGTATTATTTTTTCTCTATTAACTTGTAATTCATTTTATTCAAGATCTAACTCTTAGGTCTTATTTAGAATTCATAGACTTATATAATAAAAAATATATATTTTACTAATTAAATATCAAATTGCTAAAACTGCATATTCTATGAGCTATTTTTGTCATAGTACATTCAAACCTAATATTTTTCTTTAGGGCAACCCAAGGGTCAACCACTCTCCTTCATTATATGTCGACTAGGGTGAGGGAAGGTTTGTCAAATTAATCACATGAGGTGGAGGGCGACTTTGTCAAAAAAATGACGAAATATTACGTGGGGGAGGGAGAAGTATAGTAAGATATCACGAGTATTTATTTTTTTATCATTATTTTTAAAAAAAATCTTAACATTTTCAAATAAAATTAAAAAAAAATACATTTTTTTCTCGTAACTAAAAATACACGTAATTTTTTGTGGGGAAGGGGGCTAATGTTGAATATGACCACGTAACAGCAAGTGGGAGGGGGGATCAAAAAAATCAATCATGTGATTAATGGGCATATGTGTAATAGTTTTGTCGCACATGTGTTGCTGCAATGCCCATGAGAGGCGATTTTCACTTTAGGTTAAATTTTATTCCAGCTTAAGTGGATATTTAATTCATACTGCTTGATACCAAGTTGGCCCTATTTAAAATCTAAACCGGCAATAGTACGTACTAGCTCACGTCTTAACCATTACAGTACCACTGACTTATTTACGAATATAATCCAAATTTCATTAAATTTGTTTGTACTAATATTAGTCACTAAAATCATTTTTTTTGTGTCCAAGGCATATTATCAATTATTAATAATCTATTATTATCTATATCATCTCTGTATCGACAATTGAGAAGAATAAAAATTAGTTACATCAGTATTGATCAGATGTAGCATAAATCAATTTCAATCCTATACAAATAAATTATTTAGTGTTCAAATTTTATTATAAATCATCCATTTATCTTATCTAATATGTATCTTAAAAAAACATGAAATGACAAGCGTTGGAAAATATTAAAAGGTGACGTAAACCATTTAATTTTGGTTTTACATATATTAATAGTTTTGTGCCAAATGATCTAGACGTACATATATCAAACATGTTCTTTAGTATGGTCATCAACGTTTTATTGTCAAATCAATCTTTTCATTCGAACTCAAAAATCCAGTCGGCACGGGTGAAGGTCAATA